TCTCTCTCTCTCTCTCTCTCTCTCTCTCTCTCTCTCTCTCTCTCTCTCTCTCTCTCTCGTCTCTCCTCTTTCACACACACACACACACACACACACACACACACACACACACACACACACACACCCCTCACACTCTTAAGTCTGAAAGAAATCTCTAAGCCTCCCTTTGAGCAAATCTCTTCCATCTAGTCCTTGAAACAGAGGAAAGGACATAGGGCCTGAGGGAGAGTTATGATGGCATTTAGTTTTGACTTTGCAAAGTAAAAGTAAGGACCATATCCCTAATACAGACCCAGGAGGAGGATACTTCAGGTGAGGGGACCTCAGCCTGTGGTATCTGTGTTCAACCAAAGACTCCTGCCAAAATCTGAAATCTTACCCCTCTCCACATGGCAAAAATAGAATAGAAAAGAGGGGTAAGGATGGCACAATCATAGGTTCTGTTCCCCAAGAATTGCCCCTTACCCCCATAGCTGAAGGAAGAAAGCACAGCTCAGTTGTAATTAATTGAGGACTGTTATTAGGTCATCATTAGCTAAGGTGTAAATAATTGCAGCCCATTTTTATTTAAAATTGACCAGCTGCAGAGTGATAGATCGATTTGGAGTATAAAAATGATGTATCAAAACATCAATGTCGATTATTTGAAATATTGTAGTCGAATTTTTTTTATTGCTTCATCGGTTAAGTGTCTGAAAGTGCAGTGTTCAAACATATATTTATGTTGTCAATACTGTCAGAACTGTCAGTTTTACTATACCGGATTTGTACTACATTTCGAATATGCTCATTTACATAAAATGCCCACCCTAGGATTCCCTCCACCCCCACCCTATCTCTGGAAAATCCGTGTCAGTTTCTTCAAAGGATTCAGCAATCTTCGCCTAAGCTAAAGTGTGCACTGCTTCTTTTACTCAATTTTCCACATCGGATTACATGTATTTTTCATAATTTCTAACTTTCAAAGAGATCCTTCCTCCTTTCTTCCCAACTCTGTCTGCCCCAAACCTCTTTTCAGAAATAGTATTGAAGCACTTGAAAAACTCCAGCTTTAAAAACTCACATCCCAGCTCCATATATACCATTTGGGTAGACAAACGGAAAAACCGGACTTCACTGTACCTCCTTGGTTGCGCTCGGGTAAACCGGGCTCTCCCAGGCAGACGTTCTCACACGCCTCAGGGTCCATCATCAAATTGTCTTCCAGGGAAAATGAATTTGGAGATATAGATACTTTTTTCTTTACTTTTACTTAAAAGCCGCGATGGTAGAAAAATAATACGTACAAATGATCGTCACGTTTTACCTTTAAAAGCTTTTGAACTCAATCGAAAGACACAAGTTGGAAGCAGAATTGACAGTTTTAATTCTACTCATTTTCACCTGGCATGTCAGATTAGAGACAATCATTTATTTTACGGGGTGTGTGGATGGGAAAGGCAGATAGAAAGCTTGAATCCACTTAAGTCTCTATCCTAAAAATCATAGAGAAATGAAAGACTCTTGTTGAAGTACAAACATTCCATCGTTCCATTCTCTTAGTCTAGACTAATTGAAATTTATAAATTCACATTCTGCCTAATTTTATGCTTTTATTATTTTTTTCCCCCAGGATTCCTTCTGCGTCTGATAAAAAAGACAGGGACACTTCTGGACTAGCTGTAAGGATGTGTTTTCGTTTCCATAACTCTGAAGTACTTTTTATAAACCTTTTAATGTATTTGAATAAGTTTATTTGGACATTTAAAAAAGCTACACAGATGAAGGTAGCTTGGCTTTATGCCGTCAATCCCAGAGTTAAAAAAAAAAAAAAAATCCAGAATCTAACCGAGAAGCTTTTCCATACCCATTCTCGCCTCTAAATAAATAAATAAATAAAAATATAAATAAATATATATATAAATAAAAAATAAAATAAAAAGTGCAAAGCGAGTTGCCAGCCTGCATCTGTACGTCTTCGTGTGCGCATTTATAAACATCTTCCAGTCCGTGTTTGCGTGTCACCTCCTTCCTGCCATGCACTCGAAGGCAGAGGCATCGAGGGATCGCCCCCAGAGAGCTGTGTTTACTTAGGTTTTTTTTAATCTCTCCGCCATGTATGACAAGTGTTACTTCAAGAAATTCATCAGCCTTCTACAGATACTTCCAGTTTTGCCGTAATGATCTGCAGAAGAGAACTGCCATCACTTTCTCACATCTCAAGGTGTTGCAGGAACTCAGAGAGAGGGGAGAGTGGCTGAAACGCTTAATTACCGTGCAGGAGGGAGGGGCACATTGCGGGGGACCGAAGGAGGGGAGAGTGAGGAAGGAGGTCCCTTACCCGGCTAGTACCTGCAGAAATCTCCGAGTTGCTTCTCTGCGAATATTTGGAAAAGGTACGGTTGCCTTTTTTTTTTTTTTTTAATGCCTTTAGGGAGAAGTGATACCCTTGTGTAACAATTAGCTTAGACAATAAAAATAATTGGAAAATCAGTTGGAATTTCTGAGTTTTTAATTACGTTTAATTTTGTGCTAAGCCGTAAAATTACGAATGCCCCTCAATTAAACACTCTCCTCTTGTAAAGCGTTTAACAACAATTATTCCTTAATCAGTCTGAATGTGAGTCACAAATGGTGCTTTTCCACATCAAAGGGACGTCCTTCGACGTTACCTTTTAGTCATAAGTAAGAGGATTAATTCCTATAATTAGAGGGATAAATATGTGCATAAATATATTTCTCACTCTCCTTTTTAAAAACACAAAACACTTTCGCTCTGTAAGACGTGGCCGGCTCGGGTAGGGTGAGTGTTTTTAATTGTCCGCCTTTGCATGGCATCCCTTTGCTGGCGGGTGACTGGAACCGAGGAGACGCTGGCGCGAAACACAGAGCCCCAGGGGACACACACATGCACACGCACACGCACGGGTCTGGCAGGCGGTACGCAGCTTGGGGTCCCAGGACCCCCACCAGCTCCAGTGCGATCCTCCCAAGACTGTGACCCACCTTCCACCCTGGCCCCTGCCTAGCTTAGGAAGAGCGTTCTGTTTCCTGTCGGCCCCCTTGTCCAGAAGAGCGGGATCCCTGCCCTAAGCCGAAGCTCCAGGTTGACTCTTCAGGCTACAAAGAAAAATTGAGCATGACCTTTTAAAACTCCTGTGTGAATATCTCATTTACCTAATGACTTTATGTCACCTAGGAAGAAGGTCAATTTCCTCTTAACCTTTTCCCCGCTGCTGCAGTAAGCATTCTTCCCTAATCAATGGTGGCTGGAATAATCAATTCCTATTTTATGATCGCTGACAAACTCAATCTCCAGGCGGGGTGTTAGCGCAGCGGGGCCCGCTCGGCCGGGACAGAGGTCTTTCTGGGTACGCCCAGCTCCGCCCGGCGCCAAGGGAAGCTGCTCTCTCTTCCGTCGAGTTCAGAGACCTTGGCAAACTTCCCTCCCCCAACCGCCGGCGTGACTTCTGAGTTGTCACTAATCCGAACCTGATATTCACCAGAGCTCCTTCGGTCACCGACATCTCTCCGCTGCTGCTGGGGCCTCCCACCCGCCCCTCCTCGGCCTGTTTTCATTTCCAAGTCTGCAGGCAGGGATTGCCCCGACCCACCGTAGTGCGTGCGTGTCTGCATGTGTAGGTTTTCAGTTTCATTTGTATTTTTAAAATTATTTTTGCCTTCTTCAGCGTGGATCTCTCAGCTCTTTTCCTGTCTCAGCCCAGCTAACTTTGCATAAACAATGCAACAGCAGCAGCTCACAGTGGGTGGATTCCTGAGGGAAATAAAGGCAACGGGTAGAATTCTCTCTCTCTCCCCACTCTCTCTCATTTTTCCCGCTCTTCTCTTACCTTTCTACTCCTACACTTTCCCCCACAATACCCAGGTATCCTAAAAGACAGGGTTCTCATACACCACTTTACCCCTATTTAAGTTATACAACCCTTCCCCAGTCCAGAGAAATTAATGGGCAAATTATTAAGTCAAAGCTAATTTGGGGTAAGTCCACTGTTCTTGATCTGTGGAAGGCCTAAATATGAGCCCCTTCCTCGTTCCAATCTCTTATAAAGAAGAAGTTAACTGTTACACACACAGGGTCTGTTTGAAAAGGGACACTGACCACTGGTTCGCCATCAGCTGCTGGAACTTTTCCCCCCTTATTCCACACTTAATGCCATTTTCACTCACTACCTGGGCATGATGAAGCTGTTGCTGATTATCAAACAATCAAAAACGCCTTGCTGAGCTAGAGTTCAGTAGCAGGAAAATCGGTTTTCTTGGAAAAAGATGTCCTGTATTCAGGTTTCTGGAGATTTGTTCTGAGGAGTCAATCTCTCAGACCAGCTAGTTAAACTGAGCCCCAAACAGAACTTTCTCTCCTGAGAGTGTTCTTTCAGGACTCCTTACCTATAGCGATAAGCTTTGAAAACGTAATTAAATTGCCCCTTTTCTTGACTCAGAGCACCTCATTAATCGCAGGCGGACAGTCTGCTAAAATTGGGAATTTTTCAAACGTTCAAAACTAAAATGTAACTCTCCCATCTTTTATCCCCCACTCTGATGTAAAAAGCAAACAAACAAACAAAAGGCATTGGAGTTCAAGGTGAGGTGTATATGGGCCAGAACCCTCACTGTTCACCCACACCAGCCTCATAAGTTCTGATAGTGACAGAGATGGCTGACCATGCCACCACCCCAGCCAGACTCAAACTCAGGCTCCATTCTTCCCTTGGGTCTGAAAGTGCTGGAGTTGTGGCCACCTAGAGGCAGTGAGAACAGGCTAGGTTCAGGACCTGACCTGAGATAGGGAGGGCAAAGTTCTCAGTATTTTCACTCCCCTGTTGCCTCATACCAGGAAATACTTTTGCATCAGGATTTAAATGGGCATCAAGGGTTGGTTCAGCCCTGAGTCACAGTTTGTAACACCCTGGTTTTCAGAAGATTTGTTTCATATTCCCAGTAACTGAGTTACAGACTTTGCTGGACCACAACCTGTTTGTAGGTCAGGAAATGCTTGTACGGATAGAGTTTCACATTACTAAGCGTCCTGAGTGGGACTTTTATCTCTATTTGACAGAGGAGCAGACAGATTGGGGATGGGCCCCTTGACCTCAGATAATTACTACAGTCTTCCATCTTAAGCAAATTTAATTCTCACACAGGGAATAATTAACAACTTCTGACTACTCACTCCATGAGAATTTCCTTTCCTTTTCTTATCTTAAGGACTCTCATAGGGATATTGAAGAATATGTTTAATACTAGTTTTTAGCTGCACTCCATTTAAATATATTGCATTCTGCTCTCTCCTTCCACAGTCTACTGGAACACATTTAGCACTATTTTGGCCTGTGTTCTAACCCCAGCATGTGAAATTGAAAAATCCAGTCATTAGTTTATTCTCCTCCCTGTTCCCCATTCCTGACCCCAAGCAAAGCTATACATTAGACTACGCTTTGTAAAAGGAATGATTTTGCTTAATTAGGAGAGTATGTCAGAAGAAAGATTTTTTTTTAATAGTAAAAAATGTTATTCTCTCCCTTTGACTAACTAACAACTTTGTCTCTAACACTGTCATGTACAGGGTTATAAATCAAAATTACATTTCAAGATACAAGCCATAGCATTGGAATGGGAAGAATGACTACACAGACCACTAGCTTTTCAAAGGTGACTGAGGTCTCTGCAAGTATCATGTCCTAAATGGAGAAATGTGTCATTCAAACATCTCTAAGGGAGAGGGTTGAATCAGATCACTTCTGAGGCTGTTTCTAACCCAAGAAGGACAAAAAGAGACTCCAGGGGCTGAGGAGGAATTAGGAACCCAGGCTCTGGATTCTGACAGGAAGAGGCTGAATCTTGATCTCTCCTGTGCTAATTGTGTACTCTTAAGTAAGTCACTAACTTATTTGAACCTCAGTAACCTTATGCATAAAATCAGCATAGCAATAGTTGATGTTACTGGATATATTCTGTTGGCCCCTTCAGATCCACTGTTTATCTTTTCCATCCTGCTCTGTGCCCTTGAATGCTGGTATTGATGGTTTTACACAGCTAGTTTGGTCCTTGTTTCCTGTGGGTTTGCCCAGAATGGGTAGAATGAGGTCTGGTGCTGATTGCCAGGATCCCTGTGAGCTGGCAGCATCCCAGCTCAGCTCAAGCAGACCTCTCCCTAGAGTTCTCTTTCTGGATTCAAGTAACCATGGTCCTCTTCATTACTAGCCTTGGGGCACTGCATTGTCCCTTGTGGTAACACCCCGCTCACACATTTTTAATGTAGTTCCTTTATTAAGCTCTCCTCAGATTACCCAATTTGATGTGTACCATCTGTTTTCTGCTGGACCCTGACTGATAAACCTTATAAATGTGTTTGGAGAATTAAAATTAAATGAGATAATGCATGTAAAACAAGTAGTGCAGCTTTTTGCATACAGTAAGAGCTTAATAAATAGGGCTTTTAGTTATTTTTACAATTATCATCTGGTGCTATCCCTTCATGTTATATTTGTGGAAATTGAGATGCAGTGGTTAGGGTATGCACTCAAAGTCTAATTAACTCAAGGTGGTAACAACCCTGGGACCAAATTCCTGGACTCCCAGCTCAAAGTTTACTACTCTTTCCACAGCATCTTTTGGAGGAAGACAGATGAGGGAGGAGAGAGAGAGATGTTAGAAAAATGGTTAGACAGGCCAAAGGCAGAGGTTCAGGAGATAATCTTTCCACATACCGCTGCTAAATTATTTCTGAAACAAAGCATGCTATTGCAATTCAGAATCCAGTGATTTTACTAAGAGTAGTATGGATATGCAACAGGAGGAGCAATGTATGCTTGACAAGTTGAAAATAAATTTATGAACACATAATTAGAAGTTTTACCAGGAAGCATCATAATGTTTTAAGATGTGTAGGATATACCAGAATTAATTTTCAAATAAAGGCTGACTTTTGGATTACCAATGTAGATTAAGTGTGAACTTCATCATTCTTCAGAATGTACTACTGTGCTATGAACTTATATAGAACCAAACACCAAATCCTGGCCCACAGACCTTCTGCAATTTGATAGCACTAATCATGTGATGAAAATTATTCAATCACTAATTCCTACTTTCATTTAATCGTTCAAGCAAATATTTATTGAGCTTGTGTATTCTCCAGGAACTCTTATGGATGTTGACATATAAAGATTAATTAAATATATTCTTGGCTTCAATGGGTTTACAGAGAGAAATAGAGGTAGGTGTACAAACAGATTTTTTTTTTTTTTTTTTTTTTACCAGTAAGGTAGAAGTCTACCTAGGCTACTATGAGAACATTGAAGAGTCTGAGTGGAGTTGGAGTCATTGAGGATAGAGGAGGTTTTTCTGGCTCAGAACTAAGTTTCTGGGTCAGAACTAGCAAGGAGCAGTGTGTCTCAATCCAATTACGTTTTAACCTTCCAGATTCTTCCAAATTACTGCAGATAACAATTTATTAATATTTAGCTTTTACT